CCTCTGGATCCTTTCTTTCTAAATTGTTCGATCCGATAAATCCTCTAACTTGAACAGTATTTTGCCAGAGATGGCTGTTAATTTTTCTTCTCTCTCTCTCTCTCTCTCTCTCTCTCTCTCTCTCTCTCTCTCTCTCTCTCTCTCTCTCTCTCTCTCTCTCTCTCTCTCTCTTTCTCTCTTCGTTGGTCACGCCGATTTCGCTTCGAAACGACTGAAAGCGAAACATCGAGTGCACCCGTTCAATGCGCGTATCGCGTGCCGAGCTCCCATTCGACGATCTGAAAAGACTCGCCCCGAAAGGGGAAGGTTCGTTCCATCGGGCAGACTTTTCGTTTCCCTCCAATGGAAATAAAGATATCGTCCCGATCTCTTCTCTCGTCTCGGACGATTTTATAATTTTATAATAATATACGTTCGTTTTCACTTGATGTATAATTTTCGTCGAGTCGTAAGTCACGTAAGTGAACGTAGAATTTTTCCAACGGGGGGAAATTACGAGTTAAGGTGATCGCGAATGTGGAGTGTGATAAACGTTTCAATTTCCTGTTGCAAGAATGGTAGAATGGTTGTAGTGTGCGAAATCGATTCTACGAATGCACGAGAATAAAAATTCACCGGTTTTATCCGGTTTATAGTTTTCTAACAGCGCTACATTTTTCTAAATATCCATTTCGTTTTATTCATTTCTTTTTCGTCATCTTTAATCTTTTCGCAATTTTCAATCTACCAATCTAGTTTCATCTCGCTTAATTTGTTCTTTTTATCCTCGAAATCAACTCCTTGAAATCCACCTGTTCAAATTCACGATTAGATGAACTCATTGTTCCATCTCCAGGCGAACCTCTCGATCCTTTCATTCTTTGACCAAACTCGGTCGAATTCCTTTGCAACGTTGAACCAACGTTCGCTAATCTCTGATTTTACTCAAACCAAATAGAGTCCTCTTTCGATCTTCAACTCTAAAGTGCCTTTCCAACGTCTATATAAAATATATAAAATATTCATTTGTTCCATCGCATTCGCTTTATATCACGTTAAACATTATACGCGCATCTCCTGGCAATAACGTGCAATTTTTCAACGATTCAACGGGAATATATACACAAGTGAAACGCGTAATAATTCCTCGTCGAGAGAAGCAAGTTCGAGTATAGATAACGTAAAATAGGAAATATCACGCGAACGCGGCCCATTAACGCGACCCTCGTTGGCTACGGATATAATTATAAGAATTTCACAGAAGCCAATGTAATTCCACCTTCCCGTTTGATCGAACCGAATTACGTAAATCGTGCACGCGGAAAAACGTGATTGACACGACGAGAGGATAATTATTTGAATTCCTATAACTGAATTCTATCCTCCCTTTGTCGCTATATTCCGTTATTTGTCCGCTTTCGGGGCTTCTCGAATGGCGCGAAGAGTGGCTCAACAATCCCGTTCAACAAGCCTGTTTCATCGGGATCGCAAAATGTGCGCGTAACACGATCCCTGTAATGATTAAAACGTTTGAAAGTGAAGCCATTTGTTACGATACATTCGAGATATCTTGGAATTCTCGAAATACGTTACGAACAAAAAATTTCCAAGGATATCGATTTCGATCCACGATCTCTTATACAAATTCAACGATCGTTCAAAATTATGTTCGTCGAACTTTTTAATATTTTAGATATTTCGCACCTGGACATCGATAACATATTATCGATCACGACAAGTCTCTATAAACATTAGCCGGACATGCATATCCTTTCACGCCTCTAACGCGTTTACCTACGTGAAAGCATCGGTAGTCGTCACAGGTAATAAACAGGTAATAAACTTGTGCATTTGCACCATGGTTCGATACGTTCGATCGTACCAAAAAAGGGAGTGAATTCCTGTTTCCTCCGAGTCGAGTATCCTAATATTATCTATTATCAGATAACAGATACCGTGTAATTGAATATATACCATAGACTCCATCCTTTCTTCAAATTGACCCGACCGTCTACTCCCAAGATGGTGGTTTCTCTTCTCTTCGTAAAATTCTTCTGGGCGATTATCCGTTTCCATAATTGATCCGAAAGTGACCCCGAAAGTTGGAATTAATTAACGATGGGTCGAGGAAAAGTGGCGAGGTAAAGTTTCGCTTAGCGGTGGAGAAAGCAAGTTCTTTTTTCGAACGCTCGAACGAGTCTCTCGCGTCGTCGTCTTCTTTCTCTTTCTCCCCCTCTTTCTCTCTCCGACCGCTGTACACACGGGATCGTGGTGGAGCAAATAGCGCGTGAAATCGCCGCTCCTGTTCGAGAAGGAATTATCCGGAGATTTTTACTCAACTCCCATCTATCCCCCCTCCGCGCTAATTCTTCTCCGTCGATGGCGCTTATTTGTTTAGCTGGCAGGCAGCCGGGAAAATTGCGAACTTCGCGAGCCATTTGATACAGGGATTATTTATTCATGCTTATGAGCCCTGCTTCTTTCGAATTCTTCTCCCTCCCTCTCGAATTTCAGTTTAACGTTGGAAATACGATGATCCGATGGAAATTTTACAACTCGAGGGATTCGAGAAACGGGGGAGGGGGGGATTTCAAATTGTGAAAAAGATTCGAAAGTTTGATAGCGTTAAAAATGTATATTCGTGTGCAAGAGTCGATAAACGAAACTCGTTACATTGGTACAATTTTAGATATTTTAGATATTCTTGCAAACGTGGGATGTATCGTACGTGAGAGAACGTACGTTGTATTCCAAAACATTCATACCGAGAAAAGAGTATCGCGCGAAAGAAAGAACGTTTCAACGCTTCGTTCGCTGAAACTTTTCTCCAAGTTTTTTTTTTAACTCTGATCAACATTCTTCTCGACGCGTCACTCTTGCGAGCTTGTTCTCGAAATACGAGCGAAATTATCATACGAAAAGAGATCGTGCGATGAAAATTAGCGAAGAAAGACGTTGAAATAGAGGGAAAAAGCGAAAGAGAGAGAAAGGAAATTCGTGATGATCACGGACTATTTAATCTGTAGAAAAATAATATTAAGAGAAACTTTTAACGTAATTATTAACGTGATCGACGATGAATAAAATCATAGTAAATATTTTTTAGCTAACGTTTCTCAGATACGGTATGAAGAACGCGACACAATTGTATTTTTGTTTTTCCTTCCTATTATACTTTAATCCCGCATTATCTAAAATTCATTTCGGATGGCTTCTCCCGGAGCTCGAGCAAAAAAAGTTAACTACGTGGATAGGTTTGCGCGCTGTAGGTGTGCGCGTCAGAGTCGGGTTATCGTGGTGTTGGTGAAATTAAAAAAAAGGAACAGGAGTTTCGTAAGAGTTATGAGATATACTTACGGAAATGAGAAATCCTTATACAAAAAAGAAAAAAAAAAAAAGAACAAAATATTACATAGACGTAAAATTAATATATCTAAAAATTTGTAATGTATCGATTCATGAGAAAACGTATAATAAAATTAATATGTGGAAAGAGAAAATTATTATATTAAAAATTTCGCGTAATAAAGTATAAAAAGAATGAGTTTTGTGATATTACGGAATTCTATAGAAAATTACGCAGGTTACGTTTATTTTATATAATTTTATAAAAAAAGAAATTGTAGAATGAGAAATTGAAGCAAATAGAATAGAATCGACCACAGAAAAAACAGAACGGAATTACGAAAAAAAACGAAATCCACTTAGTTCTGTTCGAAGATAATTACCTTCCTAAAAGAAAGCGTAACATTTATACAAAATAATATCGATTGAAAGTATAAAAAAAAAAAAATCAAATAATCATTTGGATTATCTTCGAATAATTTTTCAAGTTATTTTTAATTTCTAATCGAGTGACGAAATTTTCATCGAAATTAAATTTTTCCCGAATTTTCGAGATATCTTGTGTTTTTTTTATGTATTCGCGGTACAAATTACAAAATACAAAAATTTAATCTTGAAAATATAAAACTTTTTACAGAGAGTCTCTTCAATTTTTACCTATCCAAGCGATAAGAATTTTATCCGAATTAAATTTCGCTCGAAACTTGGAGAAATATCTCTTTACAGATCTTTCTTCTCCCGCGTGAAAAAAATCGTAAGATTGCTTTTTTTTTTTTTTTGCGCATAAATTGGAAGGAAAAAATGGAAAGGTATGGGAAATTGGTTGAAAGGCGATTCGATGAACGGGATTCCGAATTGTTTGCAAAAGTGATTTTCAAGTCGGATCGTTGTTTGCTGTGGCAACACAACAGTGAAATCGGAAAGGGTGAGAGGTTAAACGAACGATACGTGCCGTCGTTAACCTCTTGATTTGCTTGCGTATGACCCATCATTGTAAACAGGTCGGTCATCACTATTGTGAACCGCACTGAATTAATTAATCCTTTCATTAAATCTAATGCGGCAACTCGTGCCCCGCCACTCGAATCTATAACGCGGCTCGCACTTGTTACGCGCGGTTACCAGATTTTAACGCGAAACCATTTTCGTTATTACAATTTTAATCGTTATACGTAGTGGGATCCGTTACAATCCGTATATAATAGTATAATTTATACCTGCATGCGAGATGATGTAAACATCAAGTGGAGCGAAGTAAACAAGATAAGCCAACATTCGCGTGAATTTAATAAAAGGGGATTTAATAAGAGTTGCTAGATTAATGATAATAAAATTAAAATATAAATAAATATTTATTTTTCTTTTCGCACTTTTTATTCGTATTCAGAAAGATCTAGATACCGTTTGATTATCTCCACGCCTTCGATAATCCAAACACCTGTACAGCTAACTTTCCCCTCGCCATTTTATCATAATAATCATGAGCGAATTGTACGAGTGTCGCTGAGATAATTTAGATGTAGAGAAATACCAATTTCGCGAATACAAGGTGGATGATTTTTGGAAATACAGACGAAACTTTTCTCTTCTTCTCAGTACTTTTATACCTTGTACAAGCTATTTCGGGTAAACAGAGGTTATTGTCACAGCCGAATTAATTCATTCTTTCGTTAAAGTTGCTTCCCAGGATCATACGAATAACGACTGTCTGGCCATAGCCGTTTTGTCTACCGGAACATCGGGTTACCTGAAAGCAGACAACATGTTTTATCCAGCCCAAATGCTATGGATGCCTTTCCTGTCTGATTCGTGTCCCAGCTTGATCGACAAGCCAAAGATATTCTTCCTCCAGGTGAGTTATTTTTTTTTTCTCAGATATATTTATTTTGTCGACATCGATATCTGGCGAGCAACGATCAATCGGCACTCGGGACAAATTTTCCCTAGTGATCTTTAATCCGTGGACTGTGTTGGACTTCTTTTTATCAATAATTTCTCTTCCTCCTTTTACGCTTTCGACTGTGCACCTGTTTAGATTGCAAATAAAATTAACGCTACATCGTAAAATGGAAAAAATCTCGATAGATCGAGTGACGCGAGAGTCACAGAAAAAATATTCATGGAAAGAGTTTTAATTAAGCGTTCATGGTGTGAAATACATCGATCTTGTTCTAGTTTCGCTAACTCTATTTATCTTTTCGTTTCTATGAATCTAATGGTGAAAAAATTGTTTTTTCTTAAGAGAGGATTAATTAACTCGGTTATATCTTTATTCTTACTTTATTCTTTCTTCAATATTTTGGAATATATTAACGAGTTTTATTCGCCACGGTTTTTTTTTTTTATAATATTTTCTTATCGGTTATTCAAACGGAAACTAAAATGAGAAGGAAAGAACTTGTACGTATTAAAATTGTAAATAGAATTAATTTTTAACAAAGCGCAAGGCTCTCTTTGGAAATGGACAAGATGAAATAAATAAAGATATTTTTATCCCGTCTTGATTCACGATAATATTGATCCTCGATTTTCAAAAGATTTTCAATCGTTCGCGAAGTTGTTCAATTAAATAGAATTGCGATATAATCGGGAGAATCGTGAGAAATTGTCCGATCTCGAGGCCGAAAGTAGGAAGAGGTTGAAGTATAAAACGGGATAATGTGAATATTTCACACGATGATAACGTAAATCTTGATTTCGTTCGCGATGTAATCCTTGCCTGATCTTTTTCCATTTATCTGCTACAGGATGATCTCTCAAGGATTTGCAACACGAAGCGCATTACCGCGGAAATGTTTTTCCTTTTTTTTTTTTTTTTTTTGTTCTTTTGCGATCTCGTGAAATGCTCCTATTATAAATACAGCGTGTCGATTTCGAAATGATGAAATATTTCGTGAAATAATTGATATCAAAGAAAAATTCTCAGAAAAAAATATTTTCCATAGGTAAAAATATTGATACGATTGATCGCATTCAAGAAAACGTGCATTTAAAACATCATTGGAAAATAAATTTCGAATTAAAAGCATGCTGCATTTGCAAAATTCAACATTCAAGTCAGACACTCTGCGTTATCTCTCGAAAAGATCGCGTAACGCATCGAAATGATTCGAAGCGAGAATCGTAATTAAAAAAAAAAAAAAAAAAAAAAAAAAAAAAAAAAAAAAAAAAAAAAAAAAAAAGCGAATTTATTTATTCGAGAAAAAAGCTATACCTGTCATCTGCCTCGCACGATTTTCTTTCTATTCCGATAAATTTTCATACGCTCCACGAAACTACTTTGTTTAACTTTTTTTTTTGCTCGGTCGAAACCAAGTTCTCGTCGAATCGAGTTCTCCCCTCCTCCCCCTCCTCCCAAAAGCAATAAGACCGTGTTTTGTTCGATATAATGAAACTTGGAAAACAAGCTGTTCCGCGTGAATCAATTTGTCGTTAACACGCTCGCCAACGTATTACACATCTGCAACCACGTATTAACGCTGTTCATTCCCCGGTTATCGGAAACGCGATAGAAACGGATGTTTTTGCTTCGTGGAATCTACAAAATAAACTCGAAAACGCGGAGAAGTAGAAACACTCGACGCTCGTACAAACAGAAACGTCGCACCTACCTCCCATCCACCATACGAATATTTCGAGGGAAATTTTAAATCGTGAAACGGAATTTAACGCGATGAACTTACTCACGATGGCGTATAGAGAGGGTGTGTATAAATGTATTGCTCGTTTTACGGGGACGAGAGGAGACGAGTGGAAACGAGATGGATAGAAAATAATTGGTAACCGTTTGAAATTATTATTTTTTTTTTTTATCGTAATTAGAGAAACTGGATAGAAGATTTTTTTTTTAAAATTTAAATTCGTTATTTCGAATTCGCGGGGAATTAGCGCTTGCAATAAACCAGTTTGTTTTTGGGATCGATACGCGTTCGAGATTATTATTCGCATTATTAACCATTCTCCGTTCTAGATTTAATAGGGTTGACTATAACGACTCTCTCGTTTATCGGGAATTTTTTTTTTTTTCTATAACATCATTTTAAAAATTCTAATAGATAAATGCTTCGTGTTATCGAGCGAAAAATTTTGAATAATCGAAGGAAAATGCAACGATTGCTAACGAATTTGAGATACGCCCGCGTAATTAATTTTTATATAATATATTTCGTTAAACAATTAAATAAATAAAGCCTCGAAACTCTCGAAAACGCCTTCAGCTACAAATAAAAACACGCACGCGTAACATTATTCCCCTTCGAAATTTTTCTGCAATTCAAGCAATGCATAATTAAAGAATTACTTAGATACGCGATTGATGCGATTCATCCTGCGTGTTGCACGTGTTACAGGATAGAATAGCGCGTTTTGAAAATATTCCATGATAAAAAAAAAAAACAGGAAAGCACCAAACGAACGTCGATGCTTGAAAAATATTTGAGACGCGATTACACGGGGAAGAGAATAAAAATCCTCGACGATCAAATTTCTCCTCCTCGTTAACTCGAACTACGAAGCGTCATTACGACGTTTCAGCGTTCACCGACCTTTTTTTTTTTTTTACATTTCTCCTCGACGTTTCCTCGACGAAGGGAAGTTTCACGCTTATAAGAAATGAATTCTTGCCGCGAAGGGTTAAGGGTTCGACGATAGGGGGCACGTGAAAATCGAGGGAACGAGCTCGTTCTCGCGGGGAGCAAAAGTGGCTCTAACGCTCTCGGTGTTTCCGGTTGTTCGCGACGAGCTAGGTGGTGCGGCGCTAACGGAAGTGGAAAAGACGACATAGTTAATTATCCGTGCGACGTTTCAAAGGCGCGCGAAAGAGTTTTATAGTTGGCGAGCTTGCTTCACAACTCGTTTAACGAGCTCTTGAATACGTGTCAACGTATGTGGATGTGGATCGCACGCGTGATGTTAAGCCGTAGAAAAAGTTTTCTGCGCAAACGCGATACACATACGAGGATAAAAAAGAAAAAGAAGAGAAAAAAAAGGAAATTCGCCAGCAACGTGTAGAACAGGATCGAGTATTCTTTTTTTCTTTTTTTTTTTTTGAAAGATAATCGAAAAAGATTTCATAATAGAATCGAGGATTCTATTATGGAGGATAATGGAGGATTCGTTTCGAAAATCCTGTTTCGTAAATTATTAGACGATTAACAGTGAGCGTGGAAAAATTATCGTATCGAAATACGAGCCATCGTATTTGGGAAGGATCGTTCTTCGTATCGTGGGCGAATTCAACCCTGTTTTTCTTTTTTTTTTTTTTTTTCCGCCTCGTCATGTCGCGTTCTAGTATTTAATCGCGATCCTCGCCAATCTTTTTCACGATAACGTCGCGACTTTCCGCGTGATGCATAGGGAGAAGAGCGATTTTCTCTCCTGGGGGGATGTCGGTTAACGGATTGCAAAAAAAAAAAAGAAAATAAATAAAATAAAAAGTAAAAACACGGATGAACGAAAAAAATAAAATTGGAAGATACGTATCGCGTTGATTAATCTCTGGATCGAAAGATTCTTAATGGAGCGTATCGAAACTTGGCCGAGTTTAAAGAGGAAATCGAGAAATAAAGGTGAACGTATACAATTTTATTCGAATATTAAAATTGTTAAAATTACTAAAAATATATCTCCTCGATATCATCGGATATTTATATATGTAAAACCAACTGAAAACTGCTTATCAAATCTTTTTTTCTTTTTTTTTTTTACGTTTAATATTCATTTTCAAAAGCAAAGTCGAAATTATATTCACATATTTTCTTTTTTCCAGACTTACTATGATTCATCGTACAACGGAATACACGGTTTTGACCAATCGATCAATTTTTCTTTCCCCGATATTATGGTCATACACTTATTTTATAATTGTAAGTAGACGAATTTATCGTGCATTGACTCGTACGCCTTTTAAAAACACACGTGTATCTATGTATGTATGTATGTGTATATATATATATATATATATATATGAATATATGAATATTTTTATGCAAACGCGCGAATGTTTGCATCTTTATTTCGCGTGAAGAAAAAAAAATTCTTTATCTCGCGGCAAGTTGACGCAGGTACGTGCTCGAAGGGGTCGTTTCCTCGGTAGATTGTCGGAGAGAAGATTGTGCTCTCACGGATTCTTTCGCGTTTCAACGAGTGTTCGGTCCCTGAATAGGCGCGACAACACGTGCGTGTGCAATTCACGCCCCCTCCCCCTGTGCATCCCTGTCGAGCATTCATTTGCAAGTCAATAGGCGGAAAGAATAGGAGGACTATAAATTTCGTTGTTATGTTGGTGGGTATTTGCACGTGTTGGTGGGTGTTCCATCGCGTTCCGTCGGAATGAAAATGTATTCGATTATTCGAGAGAAAGAGAGAGAACGAAACCTTTCAAAAAATTCGTGTAATCGGGAATATTGATACGAGAAGAGGGCGGCGGGATCTGAAATCGAAAAAAAAAAGAAAATAATTTCTCCAATTCGTTCTTACCTAGAATTTAAATCCTACAATCCTTGCTAGCCAATCATTTGGAATATTAGATTTGGGATGGAACGATCTATCGACATTTCGGATAGCTCAATTGATTGGGGCAATCGTTCTATCGAAACGAAAGGCTTTGAAAAATAGTTTCAATCGGACGATCCTTTTTTATTTTATTACACGTTGGAAACCACTTTGACAAAAAGAAAAAAAAAATAAGAAAAGTTATTCGAAAAAGTATATCGAAAATCTTACTTGAACGATATCTGACGATCCAACAAATGTACACACACGCGCGGTAATTTCTGGTGAATGTTCGGCAACAGAGAAGAACAAAAGGAATATTTCACGCCGTTGCTCGGTCCCGTGTTCTTGGCCCGCGCTAATTTATCGAGGGAAAATGTAATAATAAGCTGGCGGACACAAATTGCATGCACGAATTATCACGTTAATCGTGTGTAACCCGAGCGTGATAAATACACATACGCGATATTTCGCCCGTTACATGGCATCTTTGTTCGTTTTACCCGTCACCATGTCGCGTAAATAATTCTCGTTCACGTCCGTAATCATTTGCCCTCGTGTTAATCCGCTTTCCAATCTATCATTTTTCGTGTAAAGAAGAAATGGGATTTAAGAATGTTGATGACCAGCTCGAATTTTATTTCATCCATCGTCCTGCGTTTTTTCCATCCTCTTCATAATTACATATCGAGTACATCTGAAACATTTTCTCCTATATAGTTCTATATACAGAAATAATTGGAAATCATATATATTGTTTTCTAAGGGAAACGTGTTGTGTAAAATTGTCGATACAAATTAGCAATCGCGTGTCGAGAAAAAAAAAGAATATCTCCCATCCCGTCTAATTAATTGTCCAAAAATGTGGATATGGCGAATAACTGCATAGCCAGAACGTAATTTAATTAACCCCGGAAATTTTGTTGCGTTTGTGGAAATTAATCGAAAGCTCGACAAGTTCGACAATGTTGGCTAATTATCGTTTGGGGAGTAATTGAATAGTGGGTCGGATTAAAATTTTTGGTCCTTCGTGATGAAAAGTTATAAGATATCCGTTGTTTGTTGTTCGACACACGTACACAGAGAAACAAATTTCTCTTGATGGCGAGAGGAGAGGATGGAGAGAATGGACAATCTATAACGGAAGAGATAGCGCGGCGATTGTTAGTGGACGCGAAGCGATACAGACAGGATTTATTGTCTCGGCAGGGCAGTGGCAGATATCATTGACTCGCGTCACTTCCGACGCCATTGATCTCCCTCGGCGCGTCATCGAATTGACAGAGTAAAATATTGAGTCCGCGCGTCATTTCGGATCGTTAATCGGTTGATTTGCGTCATGCGTTAAATAAACGGACGGCAATATGATCGGGAATTAGTCGCGAATCATCGTGTGCCGAAATTTTATGCCAAGAGGAGTGATGGATTGAAAATTATGGTCTATTTATTCGATGTCGTATTATGTAATAATTTGTAGATTTTTTGAATTAAGATAAAATTGGAATACAATCTGGAAAAATGTTTTCATTTCTTTCATATGCGTGATTTCTATGATAGAAATTGTTAAAAACGAAGAATTCAAATTCTAAAATATTTTTTTATCAAATTTTCAATTTACGTTGTAAAACTTTGTTTGTAGAAAAAATTGGAATCTTTGTGAAAATTATTTTTATTACGAATCGTCTTTCAGATGTATTGTAAAGGGACAAACGTTTCGCCCAAACGTTTACGTTATCGAGATTAATGGGAGAAATTTCGGTTGACGGCGAAACACCGTCGATAATACAGTGATACGCGATGTTAATGTTGATGTCAATCAAGCGATCCTCATAAATCGAGGTACGCATTAAGCAGCACTGAATTAAATTCAATCAAACATGGATCAACTATCGTTCACGTCTATCCATCCAAGTATGTACAATTTTTCGAAGCACAAAGTTTATCGAACAATTGGTGGGGGAAAAATATTTCCTACGAAAAAAATAATATAACATATATTTTTACTAACATGATATTTAATTCGAATCTCCTAATTATCCGTGCACACGTATAACACACGTGTTTTCCACCACGCGTAAACAGGATAATGGGTAATCGTTAACGAAATTATTCGATAACATTGCCTGAGTTTCCGGTGACAAAGAACTCTGATTGTTCCGTGCGTACATCGAACGAAAACACTCGCCCTCGTCGCATCCTCGTCGTTGTAACGTTTTCCACCTTTGTGATTTCGGCGAGGAAAAATTTTTTTCCGCGGAATAATTTCGACGTAGCGCGTTCGAGTCATCCACGAACGGATATTCCACGAACGAGGAGAATCGTTGATTGGAAAGGAAGAACGCGCGGAAATTATAGCCGAACGTTGTCCAGGGTGATCGATATATCGGGGATATCGTTGGATCGTCCCTCGTGCTTCATAATTAGTCGTTACACCGTTGATAAGCGATTGTAATTCGAAGGCCGGTTAATTGGCACGGGGAATGTTATTATAATGTTCTCCAATTTGAATTTCGCATGTGCGTAGAATTGTGACGGAGGATAATCGGATCGATACTTGTTTCAGGATTCGGAAGAAAAAAACCGCGCTTTCTCTCTGTCGATAATAATCGATAATAACGAGGGACGAAGTGGTTGTTGAACGAAAAGTGGCGCGAGCGGCGAGGAGACGATTATTCTTCGATGGATTGATTCGCTTTCAGAGAACGCTCATACCGAGAGCTTTTTCCAGATGTTTTGCCCTTTTTCGATGGTAAACAGACGACTGATCGAAAGATTTATTCCTCGTAATTTTCCTCGAATCGTATTTGGATTTATTGCGGATTATCCTCGAGTAGAACTGGAACGAATTACGTTATATCGTTTCAAAAATTGGGCTTCTGTATAATCTTATCGTAAACTTTATCGTATAATGTTCGAAATAGAGTGTGAGAAAATTATTTACGGCAAAAATAAGCACACCGCGTTCTGCGAAGAATATATCGGTTGAAACAGACGGATGATTATCTCCACGCGTTGACAACGAAAACGTTTCTTGCAACGATTACGGAAAGCGATAACGTTGCCAGTATTTGCGTTCTTCGCGTTCCATTAACGTTTCGGTGATAATGTCGTTGCCTCTATTTCCACCTATTGTTAGACGTCTCGATTATTTTCCCGTGGAAAATATATTTTCATCCAGCGTTAGGATCCATCCATAATGCTCTGGGATAACATTCGCGCTTCTTCCAGCATTTTTCCTTTTCTTTATCCGTCATAATTCTAATCACTTTTGCGATTACAATCAAATAAGCGAACGCAACGAAAGAATTTAATTTAAGAAAACATTTTTCTTTAAATTTTTCTCGAAGAATTTGTTCGATTTACGAATTAATTGCAAAAATGTATTTTTTATTATGTATGCTGGGATAAAAATTTTCACGATATCCTTAAATCGTCCATTTTCATCTAACGTTTGGGAAGATAAAATATCTATTTATATTACTTTGCTCATTTGCATTTCCCACATTCCACATACTTCCCTCATCAACTACATATTATCCTCCATATTCAACCATTTAAATACTTGCATACATTCCTAAAACCTCATACCCCATTCCACAACTAACGATAATTCGCTTCTACCGTATTCGATGCTGTGGCGCCATTTTCGTGGCAACTTGTGAACGCGCGTAAAAAAAAAAAAAAAAATACAAAATCGAAAGAGAAACTGCTGGATTAAACAATTGTAAACGAGTTTTCACGAGCGCCAATTCCCTTCCTTGATCCTCCTTTCGTGTTGTTGCCGATCCAATTGCGTTCACAAAGAAACTGTATTCTCTGATAAACGACGAGGTCATTAGTTGTTGCGAAATCTAATCCGAATAATCGGTGGCTAAAGATCGCTCTTAATGACCGAGTCGATTTACAAAAGTTCTTGGATCATTCGCGTTCCGTGTTAATTCTACACTTGAAAATTAAACCGACACGAAATACTGTAATTGTATTTCCAATTGTATATAATCGTACATCTATATTTATTGTTATGGCGCGTCGAATCTATATTCTTTCAAGTTATGAAATGGCTTCTACTTTCATTCGTCTACGTAAGCGCACATACATGCATACATACAAGAATAGATAACATTGAACATGATTTGATTATGACTTTCAGCTTCTTGGCAAAATACAAATTCCTGTTTGATGAATAAAATTACCCAAGAGTTGAACGAACATTGGCGGACCCACGATCTATTCAGAATGATGACTTCCATTGTGAGGCACGTAGTTAATTATAATCGGACATTAAGCAACGAAAAGAAACTCCAAGCCCCAACTATAGTCTCTACGTTAACACGATTAGTATATTTCGATAAAACGAAATATTTAGTTGAATTGTCGAAAAATGAAAAGACAGATTTCGATCCTTTGTTAATCCAAGATTAACAGATTAATTTGTTAATCCAATTGTCGATTTATCATTATTATTAATGTAAATAACGATCATGACAAAGAAATTTTATTTTAATCGCATTTTTGTTTTTTTATTTCTTGCTATTGCTTTTTCTTCAAAGCATGAAATATAATATTTCGAAATAAAATAGACTGAAAATGGAGAAGCAGAGATTATATCTACTACTAATTTTACTAAGTAAAAATATATAATATATATATATATACATAAAATAAATAATAAAAAAATATTTTGCAAATTACATTTATTTGTTTTATCCTTAAAATGGATAAAATGGATATTCAATGCTCGGATCAAGAATAAATAATAGATACAATTTCTGGTTAACTTTAATTACATTATTTTTTTTTTTATATTCTTTCATGGAATCGAACAAGATTCCAGAACATCGACGCTAAATATGAGATCCAATTATACAACGAATTGGCAGCGATTATAAAAAGAAATTTTCGGGTGAGCGTTTAATTAATACATGACGATAATTGATATGTTTAACGAGGAAAATGCAAAGCATGGATTAAATCCATCAGATAAAAGAGAAGAAATGTTTCGATATGATAAATTTAATATCATCGAGAATATTTATTTATTATCTCTTACCTTCGAAGAATAAAATATATAAATAAATTTATTTCATAAAATAAATAATTAAATTATCGTGATTATTGATCATTTATTAATAAATATAATATTTTGAAACAAATTTCAATATTTAATAATTGACAATATTATTTATAAATATTATGCATTTAAAATATGTGAAAAAAATATGTGAATATTTTATTTTATAAATATATATAATGCCTCCTTTTAAATATTTATATTTCTTATATGTATTTAACTTTAAGAAATATTTTGCGTTAATTTAACGAAATTTGCTATCTAAAGACTAAAGACATTTCTTATCGCAATCTCGGGAAAAATGTAAATTTTTGGAACGAGTATCGGTGATATATTTTTAATTATCACATTCGTAGATTTTCGTTGAACGAGTTTTAAAGAAGACTTCGGTTCTTAGTCCGACATTATATAAAGAATGGGTAACGAAATGCGTGCATTACTTCATTTGCAGCTATTCACAGAGTTTAATGAGCTATAAATAACTTGGTCGTAAAAATACGAAAATACGCAGAAAATTCATTCTCTTTTTAAACAAATTAAAAGTCACAAAAGATGGCGAAGAAACCTCTGGCGATATATTTTTATTATTCAACCGCGTGTACTTTTAATTTGGTTATTTTGTGTAAGTTATGATTTATTATAAGCAACCATTTGTATTGTATAAAGATGAATATTTTTCTCCGTGTAAAAAAAAATTAAATTTTTTTTTTATGATAATAAACGAAAATTTCTTTAAACACGCTTAAAAATTTCACGCCAGATGATATAAAATGATCTCATTTCTCCATTATTTTAGATTGTAATAAAATTATGAAATAGTCTATGATAAATAGAATTTTTTTTAAATTGATAGAGAGTGACTTAATTTTTCTTTTTATTATTGATATATAATCTGTATATAAATATCATAAAGATGTACTATTATTTATTTCATATATTTTTCATTTAATATTCGTTTATTTTATTTGATATATTAATATATTAATGTAATCAAAAAATATATTTTTTAAAATATAATTTTATCAAAGTCTAATTTTTAGTATTAGTATTATTATTAGTATTAGTATTATTATTTCCTATATATCTCTCATATTTTCTTCTATCAGAAAAAAATTTTCCCTTTTCTCGACAGCATAAACAATGGGGATTTACTTTCAATAGACTTAATGGAACTGTTGACACGTTTCGTAATATTATTCTAGACATATGTTACAAAACGCAGGTAAGGAAAGAAACAGTTTGTTGTCAAGTATGTTTAGCAAGCAATGTGACAAGAGTTACCTTTTCCTATGAATAAACTATGATTTTTCTTATACGAATTACGCTGAACGCTATTTCAAAGAAATATTTATTATATTTAAAATAAAAATTTTGAAAATATAATTATATAATATTTTAATTTCAAACTATATTATATAATATTTTTCTTATAGATTTTAATATTTGCAGATCAAATTTATTATTTCCTAAAACGTGAAAAATAGTTATATCGAATCGTTGATAAATTTTTAAAAAATTCTTTTTTTATGACACAGTAAATATAATAACGTGAGAATATTGCTAGTACTATATTATTAGTATCGAATGCCATTGTGAAATGAAATGAAATATAACTTGATACATCTGTTGTACCAATCGACATGTCATTTATTATCAGATAAATATCGATTATTGTACTGGTTATGAACAGTGGCAGTTCAATTTTCTTAAATTATATATTTTCAATTCAATTCCTACATTCCTCGTATATTTTAAAGTTATATTATATTATCAAGCAATATTATTATTAACACCATAATGTTGTCTATGTATCTTATTTCCTATCGTAGTTATTAAACCAAAACTGTAATTAGTACTGTAATTATCAGCGTAATTATTATAGTACAAGTTTATCAAAATTTATATTGAAATATCGACCGTATTATTAACAGTAGAACAAGAAATTATTAGATGTAAAATTGTAAATGTTTTTAGTCATATAAAATAATAATGCTAATAATAATAAAGAGGCAAGATTTGTAACGTTATAATTTCAATATTATTTTATAAAAAATAAAACGAAACATTTGCAAAACATTTATGATTGAAACAAATAATGTAAAACAATCATGATCGCTCGAGTAATAATATATAATAGGTATTTTTTAAACGAATCGGCTACAATCGAACAAATAAAATAAAACGAAATAAATTTACATATTATTTGTAATATTATTTGTAATATAATATCCTCATATTATTTAAATAATTCTACCGTAATTTTAATTCGATAAAAGATTACGATAAATAATGCAAATAAATTAAATAAATCGATGTAAAATAAATTACACGTAATTATTTGCATATTTCTCACAAACTACTTCAGAAGAGTCAGAAGTCTTATTTGCTAAAAGTCCGATCCGTATAGTTGTTGAACTACTTTCGTATCAAAGAGAAAAGAAGTCCTTCGTACTTCGAGAGAGAAGTACTAGTACGTCTGTTTGACCGTGCAATGACAATTCGATTCCATTCACTTCATCTCCGTCTTCTGTCGAGACTAAGTGAATCCTTCAAGCAAACGGAGCATGATAGAGCTACGGCTCGTTTGAGGGATGGTTAAAGGGTTTCGTTATGCGGGTTACAATCTTCGGTCTGCTGCTTCGGATGAGTAAAGGAGCACAATGGACAAAGCGTAGCAAGATGATTCAATTGTTTTAGCAAAATTTAATCCGCATCTGATGATTCTTTTTTCAGATAATCTATCTATTATATATATTGTAAAATTATAAAACTTATTAATTTTCAATTTTTTTTTAATTTAATTCTATAAATTCATTAAAATATTCATTTTACTTGAGATCTGTTACGTTAATTTCGCTCAAATACCGATACATATTGCACAAGTCAAATATTCTTTCATATTTGTTATTTTATTAATCGAATGAATATTGTTTTACTATTTCCAGCGTTCCACATTGTTCGTAGCGTTGTCTATTATGAATATATTAAGAAAATCGGATTGACATTGTAATTCCTTTGTTACATTGTTTCCTTCTCGCTCTGTTTTCCATATTTAGTAGATACAATTTTCAAAGGTATCCTTATCGTTAATAGTACAATATGTCATTTGCTCAAAGATCAACGCGCTAATCTCTTCAAAATGTGGTGAAACTTTGCTACTGATATCAAAATCGTCGTTAGAATCGTTAAAAGTTTAGTCGTTAAAGAACGACACGTTTCGATAAACAATCGAGAATTCTCTATTCAACGTTCCATCGTATTTTCTGAACTTGCTGTCGAAGTGCTTTGATCAACAACTAGCAAGATTTTCAATTTAATAATTCATCTGGTGAACCAACGAGAAGTGGAATCTATCTAGTAGATGTGGCTATATAACAAGTACGTTCTCAAAGTTGAACTACTCGAGACTAAGCGGATGACTGATTCTCTTCGTCAAAGGATGCAGGTGCTTCTGTCCCTTCATCGATCAACGCTCGATCGAACGAGAGAGAGATACTTGAAGAAACCTTGTGTTCGAATATCACCGATAACTGTATCATTTAAATCGGTAATTACAATCATATCATAGAAATTATCAACTCATGTTTCGGCGACAGAATGGATCAAAAAGAAATGATTAAAAAATGTTGATTTGATTCTTCAAATACCTAAAATATGAAAAGCCATTATTTTAAAATATTTAAAGATTCATAAAAGCATAATTATTTATGATAAATATTTGTATTGATGACAAATTTATGAAAAATATATATATATTTTTTAAACCTTTAAATATCATTATTTATTTATTTATTGTCTTAGATCTATTATGCTTCCTTACAGCAAATAATACCTGCAAATATTTGTTGATAAAATATAAATATAAATATATTTTCTCTTAATTCTCATATTTTTAAATAAATTAATTTAATAATTATATTGCTCATACCTTAAAAATTGTATTGTAAGAATAGAATCAGAATAATATTTTTAATTTTTACTTATGCTTAATAATAATCACATATAAACAATATAAATTATTTTATTCCATTGCTTTGCATATCAATAGTCTTTTTTCGAAAGCGATTTTTAAACGCAAAGCATAATTTTTAAATAACATTAATTATTGCTAAAATATAATTATATGTTTATAACCTAACCAAAAAACAATATCCTATTATGTACTTATACTTACATGTGAATATATTTAATAAATATATCAAATTCTATGAGAATATCTTTTTGTTTATTATACCTCGTTATACCATAATACAATCCTATTTAAATAGTTTTTAAATTATAATTAGTCATAAGTATATAAGAGTATCGTCATTTGATCCTATAAACTTATAAACAAATAAATTTTGTCGATAAGTTAGGAGACGATTGAAAAATTTTAATCAACGCCATCTCGCGTTTGGATCACCGAAGCTCGGACTTGTTATTAGCATAGCAGAAT